GATTAATGCAAAGAGTACAGCAGCGACCACAGAAATCAAGTTTGTCTTTCTGAGCTTGCTGTTATTTTAAAATACAATTGTAGAAAATCTATTGCAAGATGAGCAGGTCGGGATTAGTGAACCATTGTACAGATCCGATTATTGCTCGTTTCAAAATGCTGTCTAATTGATCAAATAGTGTGTGGACAGATTTCAGATTGTGCAGGGGAGAAATATAGGTTTGCAAAATGGAGATCCCAGAAAAGCAGTGGCTTTTACTTTTGTGTAGATTGTAAGTGAATTCATTTTTGTTCTGAGCCTCAGTTTGTCAAATTGTTTTATAAATCATAAATGGAGACACTAGGAAGGCATGAAAATGTTGTCAAGATGTTGCAAGTAAGTTGACAAAACCAAGCTGCCTGCCTGGTTCAGCAGAAGGAATGCTGTACCTGTAACTGTCCATGGACTAAAATATTGATTACATTTTCAATTATGTATTTAATCCATGGGAATGGGGGTTCCTTTCAATATTCTACTCAGCCTCCAGGATGACTATCTTATTGCCACAGTGTAACAGTCTATTGCAGGAAATGATCACAGGCTGGTCTTGAGGTTTCTGGCTCCTTGGAAATACAATTTGAGCACTTGCAGTTTGTGAAGTATTTAAAACAAGGGCATGTATTTTGGCCGTGAATTTCAGAGTGCCAATAAGTCATAGATTTTGAAATATAAACTACATTGAAGTCAAGTTGGCTACTTATAGGTGTCAAGGACTTTGTTTACAGTTTGTTTAGATACTTACTGCTTATTGCTGGGCTTTAATGATTGTATCACTTAATTTTTCAGTGGGGAAAGTAGAAATGAAAGGGGTTTGTACAAAGTGTAGTCGTGACAGTATGCTACAAAGTTGTCAGCTCCTAATGTTGGTTGAACAGTTCTATTTTCCCTTGCCAATTGTCTTTCCTTCAACTAGGTACAGTTTATTTCGGTTGGGGTTAGCAACTCTTGTATTACTTCACCCATTATTCAAGCTTTACAGTGAGTGTTAGCAGGCTGGAGTGTGGAGGCCCATTGTAATGCTGCTTCTACTACTAACTGGCTCTGTGGATCCTTGGAATTAGGGTATCAAGATATTACATAACATAACGTGTAGGAGCAGGAGTAGGCCATTCATCCCTTCGAGCCTGCCCCGCCATTCAATCATGCTGATCTTCTAATCTAACTCCAGCTAATAACCTAACCCAGCCTTATATCCCTTAATCCCTTTTGCAATAAGAAATCTATCTTCAATAAGAAGTCTTGAATATGTTCAAGGACTGAGCGTCAACAGCCCTTTGGGGTAGTGAGTTGGGGTAAGAATTTGAAGTTAATGAAGCAATTAAGATAAGGGCATGTTCTAAAATCAGTGGCTAGTATTAATCCACACATAGGACTGTACGTTTGGATTTCAGAGTGCCAATAAGTCATAGATTTTTAAATATAAACTAAATTCAAGGCAAGTTGGCTACTTCTAGAAGTCAAGGATATTATCTACAATGGACCTCAATACAACAGTGGACCTCAGCATGACAATGGACTACAATGGACCTGAGTCCTGGCTCAGTTTAGTTAACTCAGTACACTTCAAAGATCAAAACCGGGATTTTATTGTTTTGCATGATTGATCAGCTCACTGAATAAATGTAATACAATTTATAATAATAATAAAAATGCAACGATTCTGAAGTTTTGGTTGGCTGAAAGTTAAGGAAAGAAATCTTGTATTTTATCATGCCTTATTAAGTCTTCAAGACATCTCAAAGCTCTTCACAGATTATACTGTAAAGTGAATTGACTGTATATTTTGTGGGCGAAATGCGGCAGCCAATTGCACACAGCAGTGTCCCACAAACAGTCATGGATTGAGTGACCAAATTATTATTTTGTTTTAAGGGATTATTACCCCCGGAAAAGTGATCCACCAATTGACTAACAGCCAGCTTCCGACTTACTGCTAGGTAAACAGAGGCGTGGAGAAAGGAAACTGGCACAACATTTCGCCCTGCCGGGGATCAAACCCACATCCTCTCGCTTATGAGGCAAGTGTCTAACCTCTAAGCTACAGGAAATATCTCAAAAAGCTTTACAGTAATTACTGTTAAGCATTAGTTTCTTCAAACAATGACAAGAGCAATACCGCAAGACTTCCTAGGTGCCTAGTTAAGACCGCCATGTTTATTTCAGGAAAATGAGAGTCTGAGTTGTACTGAATCAGATCGTATTCGACCGCACTGCTAACAGTGGCAAGCCTCTAGACACTGCTTCCCCTACTTTGAATTATTCCCAGGCAGTGAAGTGCAGAATTTCAAATACAGAGATGAGCACTGATTTTGGTAGAGCATGGATTTGGCTGCAGGAAATTTCTGAATAGCCTGTTGGTTCCTAAGGCAACTTACGACCAAGCACAGGATGAAGCTAGGAAAGTCATTAGGGAAATGAAATGGGATCAATGGGCTACGTCATTCTGAAAGGGGGCACAATTGCACAAGGACGATCCCAAATCTTTCTGGATGAAATCTTTTGCTAGCCATGACCAAAGGGGCCCATCTGGGCCCGTACCAGTATTGGACAAGTCAGGTGTTCTACAACAGACCCATGATGGTATCCTTGGGGTCTGGAGGGAACATTACGTGGAGTTGGCATCTGACCCAACAGGCTGTAGCAGAGACCCATCTGCATGGAGGCTGCAGGAGCTGGCAAGAGATGTGGATCAGATTGAAGGCCTAAATAATCCAATTCGCTGGGAGGAGGTGGACTCCACACTGCAGCACATTGCCAATGGCAAACCAGGTAGTGTGGACGGCATCAATCCTGAATTTCTAAAAGCTGCTCTGAGGAAGGAGATGGAGAATGGTAAGGATCTTACAGGTCAGGATCCCCTAACTCACCTTGGAGCCACCCTCATAGCGCTGGTCAGCAGGATTCTCTCTGAAGCACGTCAGTGTTCCAGGATTTCAGCACTTCTGTTTGCAGATGATATTGTGTGGTTGGCGGACTCACCTTGGACGTTCTGCACTGTACCCACCATCTTGAACACGAGGCAAAGCTGTGGGACATGGTGGTAGGCGCCCCCAAGTGGGGATTCATGGTTCTGCACGGCCCGAGGGAAGACATCGAGGGAATTGATTGGAAGATATAAGGGGCATCAGTCCCAATTGTTGACGTTTATCGGTATCTCGGGGTCATGGTGGACACTAACTTCAGCCTGGTCATTGTCCTGAAGGACTGCGCTGAGAAGGGGCGAAGGACACTCTGGTCATGCTCATCCCTCTTCAAGGACAGTAAGGTCCCTATGCAGGTCAAGCTTGTGGCTAAGATAACGGCGTGCAATCACTCCTCCTTAATGCAATTCCAGGCAGGTCAGGGCGAAACCTTGGGCAAGTTTCCTTACTCCACAAGCCTAATAATAATCCCTCCAAAAACCAAAAACAATAATAAATTGGTCATTTTCAATCTACGACTGTTTGTGGGACATTGCTGTGCGCAATTGGCTGCCGCGTTCGCCCACAAATATACAGTCAATTCTCTTTACAGTGTGTTCTGTGAAGCGCTTTGGGTCTTCCTCCCGACGTGAAAAGCGCTATATCAAATGCGAGGATTATTATTATTATTATTAATTGAGCTCCAAGAGATGCAGCGGTGAGGCTTTCTCCGACCCATCTGCAAAATCTAGGGTCAGCGATGAGGTGCATTTTGGGTAAACACTTATAGCGGCTACGGGGAGGTGGGCTCTGGTCTACTCTGACCTGTAACTAAGCACCCTGGAGGCGGAATCGGCTTCAACAACAACAAATTACAGGGGTCACATCTATTTGCCAAGGCCGTTCGCATAAGGACCTGGATTGAGCAGCTGGTGCTGAGTACACGGCATTGGATTTGGATCTCAAGAACATCAAGGTGGCTGGCACATCACAAACTGTTATATAACGGTCCACCCATCATGCTGAAGGTATATATATATATGCCAGAAATATGCAAACTGAGACTTGGGGTGACAGCTGCTGGAAGGCGTTAACCGGAATCCGAGTTTGTGAACACATGTTCATATACCCAGCGCCTGGAATCCACTTTGACTGGCCTGCAGATAGGCAAGTAGCTGCTGCTTAAACTCAGCAGCTCCAATTGGTGGAACCAACCAATGGGAAGGGATGTGTGCCTGAGTTGCGGACAGAAAGACGATGGCATGCCTAGATGTGTTGCCCACCGGGAAGCTCCTTGTACCTACTATCCACCTTGTGAGGGCTCCAACCCACGCTTGCCGGATGTTGAAAGACCCACTAGTGACTTTCTTCCTTGTAGTGGGGGGAGCTAAGCTGGGTCTCCTTGGAGCTGAACTTGCTCCAAGGTGACATGCCTCGCAATGGAATGTTGGAATCGACCCAGCCTTCTGTGGAAATCTCGGTAGTCTGGTTCCTGAAACAGGCAGGTCCACAGCTATGTGGCTTTAGCTGGTTAGATTCCAGCAGTGCTCCAACGCACACTCTGGGGTCCTCAAGTCTTGGCTCCTGCTAAACTGCACTGAATACTTTCCGGAATTAGGTAAGCAGGTTGCATCCACCAGGGAGAGAGTGTGCATACCGTTCCAACAGTCTGTCTCTGGGATTTCCATGTGTAAGTGGGATGCATGGAAATCTCAGCTTGCTTTAACCATGGCAATGGGTTTCCGCATGTGTCATGGCTGACCAAAACAATAATCATTACAATTTCTCTGAAGCTTTCTGTATTCAACAGTATCAAATTCCTGAGCTGTCTGTCCCCATGGTGATTTACTTTCCTGATGAGATACTACAAGATGTACAAAAAAAGGTAATAAAAGAAACTCAAAGCAAAGTTAGTAAGACATTGGGGAAAAAACAAATGAAGTATCTGGCATATTTACAAACAATATATATTTTTAAATAAATAAACTATAAATAACTAAACTAAATAAAATATTCAATTTGCATTTATTCTGCAACTCTATCAATGTTTGTGCTTTGTAGACTGGGAAAGGAAGTGCCCTGCACGAGGCTGCTTTGTTTGGAAAGATGGATGTTGTCCGAATTCTGCTGGAAGGAGGTGAGATCTAATTATGTTCCCTGTGACATTTATATTTTTACTAGTATTTTGTGTCATGTACAGGTCCACCCACTACACTGAAGGCAGATGCCCGCCTAGCTGATGAGGAAACTCTGAGGCTTGGGTGACAGCTGCTGGAAGGTGCTACTAGGAGTCTGAGGCCTTTGGGACTTTGAAGCTTAATGCAGTGTTTCACTGGGCAATATGTTTTGATTATAAATGTGCTCTGATACCTTTCTTTCAACCATGGAAAGTAGAAAGACTGTAATTGGTAGTTCATATAAGACAGCTGTTGCTGATGCATCAAAAGGCAGTGATCTATTTCTTATTTGAAATATAAGTTTTGTATAAGTTCAATCCAATATTTTTGTTCAGGTTCGGAGCAGTGAGTAGAAAAAGTCATTTCTCAGAGACTTTCACAATTGTATCAGTTTATAACATAGGTGGTGGACAATAATTAGAGGGGCCTGAAACAGTTTACCATTCCAGTACAGTTCATGATATTTCAGTTATGTGTACATTGGTAAGTACCTTCCAAGTTTGACACTTTGCCACTGCAGCCTTGATACAGCACAATTTACATTTATAAAGTGCCTTTCACATTGGGAAGACGTCTCAAAGTGCTTCTCGTTGTTGGAAAGGTACCCAAGTTGGGGTGGGGGAGTGATTTAAACTTAAATGACTTAATGGTTTTATGGAGATGCTTTTGATAGAAAAAACGGATCCAAATGTAAATAATTACACAAATAAAATGAATAGCTATATTTTTAATGTAAAGATGCATGCTCTTGATCTTACTTTCTAAAGTCACATGATAATGAGTGAAATCTTTACTTGCAAAATGTCTTTTTTCTTGCTGTGGAGCCATACTGACTGAGGTGCTGATTGCATTCCAAAAATATACTGGCTGCTCATAATGTATTTTACATCTATCATGTTCAATTTTATTTATACATTTAGTTAGATTTATGTCTTATGTATTTATTAAATACACAAAATATTACCAGGTTGGTGGATCAAACCAGTTAATGCTTTGGTTAAGCGTGTTTGTTAGACTATCTTCAGTTAAGAAACTCAAGATAAATATCTTAGTTGTGGTGTTGTGCTGTACGTTTGATGAAAGATATTGAAGGATGCTACAAACCAGGGTAAATAACCTTTTCTCAAGGGATACAATGTGAAGTTGTCTTGCTTGAATGCTGCTTTTAGGAATTCTTGGAACACACTCCATTATTCCCGTTACAACTCCTGGTTTCAGTCAGTGGTAGTGGCACCTTCCTCCCCCATCGAAGCAAGTTTACTTGCGTAAACATTTCATCAGGGCACATTGCAAGTTTTTCTCACTCCTGAAGCTGTCACTCACAATATCAATATATATCACAATATCAATATCAATATCAATTCCAATATAGTTCGCCTCCAGCTACTGTAATGAGGAGGATGTTCCAAGTATTCCTGAAGGCAGCACTCAAGAAAGACACAACTTCCCATTGTGTCCCTGAGCTAGTGTGTTAAAATAAGCCATTTATCACTATATTAGATTCGATGCAATAATGTAATCCAAAATGAATCCAGTTTAATTTCATGGAAACTTTAAGGATTTACTCCCATTCCACAGTGTATATTAGGAATGCTCTTCACCATGACAACAAGGGGTTTATAATATTGTTCATTGATTTATGCTGGATTTGTTATTTCCAGCAATAAAATGATTTGGAGTGGAAATTAGCAATTAGATTTCCCACTCCAAAATACCTTTGGGTGGTGGATTGATGAAGACCACATATTTACAACTAAACGGATAATGTTGAGGGATTATGCGACCTGAATCAAATTGATCACTCTGAAACCTGATTTATATTATACTTTTAGTATCAATTTGATGTAAAAATAGTATTACAGCATTGCAGATGTTTTTAGATGAATCTCTCTTGTGTGTTAATGGTATTCGTTGCAGTTAAACAATACAATGAAAACCCCAAGAATAAGCAATTAGTAGGAAAAGCAGAAATAATCAAGATAACTGCAGTTGCTCAAAGGAATATAAATCGCCTGTCTATATATGCAATGCTTCATTTCCAACCAATCCCAAAACTTAACATATTGAATGTTCCTAAAATGAAGAGCTTTTAAGTTCATCAACACTCAACGAAATATGCCATAGCAAAAATGTTTTTTTATATCCAAGACGCCTCTTAACAATTAACTGAGGATGTAATGTATATCTTTAAAGTACACCATCAACATGATTTTGGTTTAACAAGATGTTTAACAAGGTGTGAGATGTATGTTTCAAGGACTCAACTTTGTATCACAGTTATTGTACCTATATATGCCGAATGCTTCACTAACCAAATATGTTTCTGGCTGTGAATGACATCCATTAGAATTGAAATATTAGATAGAAAGATTGTAGTGATTCAGAGCGTCACTTTTTTTAAACAACAAACTTTTTTGGGCAGTGTAGGTTTCTTTGAATCATAGTTCATCAAAATGCTGAGCAGCATTTATGATCAGATAGGACATTGATTTGAGCTTCTGTAAAGAATTATTCTCCATAGTTTTAAAGTTTTTTTATACAGTATGAAAAACTCAGAAGGAATAGAAAGTAAAGAAATTGTTTAAACATACATGTCATAGATTAAGAATGATGAGATTCTCAAATTGCTAATAAGTGAGATAAAACTACTCAGATAACTAGTCAATTTATTTAATTTTCTCCTGATATTTTAATAACTATTTATTTCAATTCTGAGATGCTACCTTGTGTGGAGGGCGTTATATAAGTGCAAGTTATTATTGTAAATTAAAGGATGAAGTTCAGAAGGAGTATGTTTTAACTGCTCTGCTTACCAACGAATTAAAAACTTATGTGGCGGTAGCTCTCTTGATTGTCGTGTTTTGAGGATTTGATGCCCTTTTCCTCAGCCTGGTGAGTTGCTCCAATGACATTTCTTGTACCGAGGAACCAAGTGTATACCAGAGTGGTTACATTGAGTTTAACATTGATGGGTTGTGAACAGTGAATCTTAGTTAATGTGTAGTTGCATCCAACTAAACTCTGCTTTCCCAGAATAGGATGTCTTTTTGCAGATCACTTCTTGGCCCTTCTAAAGGGGCAATTAAACAAGAGTTGCTACAGTACACCTGTGGATTCCCCCCTTGTATATATTATTGGAGCAAGACAACTGGATGTCAGAAATCTTAAAATAAAAAAAATTCCTTACTGAAGGTGCAATGTATTTTTAGGGCTATATTTTTCTCTTCCAATCAGGAATATAAAACACTAACTTCACATTTAATTTCCCCTTTAAGCTTATTATAAAAATATATATTTTTCTATCTGGAAAGGATTTGAGCAGTCAGCGTTATTTCTTTGGATTAGCTATCCTACATACCAAAACTATTTAAAAAATGTCACCTTTATTGCCTACATTGGGTGGATGGATTTCTGGTTATCATAATTTTTAATTAAAACAATGGTGACCCTGACAGTCCTTTGTAGCCAAGACAAATAAGGGCTTGTAAAGGTTAAACTCTTTATTCAATTAAACAAAAAATACTTTAAAGTGTGTGTCCCTTTGGGCTTCCTCTATCCAATGTTCAAAAAAGTCTTAGATTCTAAAACATTTTGCATTTACTAAAGATTTGATGAGCCAAATAACATAATTCTATTGTATTCTATCTGTAATTTCTATGATTTTAATTTATTCTTTATTGTGATGATTTGCTTCACAGTTACTAGAGGAGACCATTTTGTATTTGAGACCCATTAATAATGACCTTACTGTCATACAGCAGAGACATGTAATGTTTGCAGTAGGGTGGAAACTTGGCTCATTGGGCTCTGGCGTCTTCAAGTCCTTGCCTCGCTTTCTGCCACTCTGCCCCCACACTCTGGAACTCCATCCTGCAGGTCCCTTCACCTCGCCCCCTCCTTCGCCTTCTTCCTCCTTCAAGACCCATCTCAAGACCATCCTCTTCGACCATGCTTTCAATCTCTCTGCTTCAACAACAACAACAACAAGATTCCATTTATTGAGCGCCTTTCACGTCGGGAGGACGTCCCAAGGCGCTGTACAGTTGGGTCAGGACCCGAGCAAGGGGGAAATGGTCAGGGTGAGGGGAGGGAAGGGAGGGAGCGAGGAGGGGGTAGAGAGTCGAGAGGAGAGCTGAAGGCACGGTCAAAGAGAAAGGTCTTGAGACCGGCCTTGAAGGAGGAAAGGGAGGAGGCGGCGAAGGTACTGGGGGATAGAGTTCCAGAGCCTAGGGGCTGAGAGACTGAAGGCCCGGCCACCGATAGTAGGGCGGTTGGGGCGGGGGATGTGGAGCAGACCGGAGCCAGAGGAACGGAGGGTACGGGCGGGTAGGTAGGGGGATAGTAGGTCGGAGAGGTAGGAGGGAGCAAGGCCGTGAATGGCCTTGTAGGTGAGGGTGAGGATCTTGAATTCGATCCTCTGGGGGATGGGGAGCCAGTGGAGGCGAGCGAGGGTGGGAGTGATGTGTTCCCGAAGCCTGGTGCGGGACCCTCCACCCTCCCCGATCCCGACCCCCAGCTCGAGTCTGAAACTGTCTGTCCAGCGCCTTGGGATGTCCTCCTGTAGTGAAAGGCGCTATACAAATGTAGTTTTGTTGTTGTTGATCCAGAGCCTTGGAGACGAAAGAGAGGTTGGAGATAGAGCAATTACAAAAAAGCTTCAGTTTATCAATCCTGTCCCTATTACTGCATTTTGTCATTTCAGGCAACATCCTGGTGAATCTTCTTGTACTGCCTTCAACATCTCAATCTTTTTATACGTTACTTCTTGAAAAAGTTCAGTCTGGAAAATTGAATTCCCTTCTGCACATACCATTCACCAAATCCTCATTGACATCAATTATTTTCATTTTCCATAGCCTAGAAGAGTACCGGAAGATAATTCAGAGGGTATTTAACAAATAAAACAGGTTGTCAGGAAGGGTTGTTGAGGCCAGGATACAGGGCTTGTTTAAAAGACGTTTGATGCTGTGATGGGGGAACGATTGGGTGGGTATATTCTGAAGAGATACAATCAGATGGAGCCTTCAGCTTCCAAACCGATCTTGTGAGATACTCTCACCATTTGCTTTAAATCTGTTCACAAGCTCTATTATCTTCTTTCCTTACTTCCTCAGATCTTCTGTCCATGATATTATTCATCTCCACATGAAATGTACAAATGGATTGATATCCTTAAAAGGTTTAACTGTAATAAGATTGGACGTCAATTAATAATTCATACAACTACAAGAACAAAATTATTTTCAACGCTTACTAGCAATACCCTATGAAAATCCCCTATATTACTTATCCTCAATATGCTGAAGCATATTTAAAGTGATATGCTATCTTATTTGTATTATCTGTAGAAAATTATGTATCCATGTAACTTACTATTAAGTTCCCAATTACAGTCAGTGTTTTTAATGTTTAGTTCAATGGACAATTCTGAATGATTTAAAATGTTGTGGTATTTTACAAAGGAATTGATGCCAATATTAAAGATAGCCAAGATTGGACTGCATTAGATATTTTGAAGGAGCACCCATCCCAGAAATCTCAGCAGATCACTGCCCTCATACAAGGTAAGATTGTTACCATGATAGCATGATGTAAAATCTGAATAGTAAAAATGTAAACCACATTTGAACCTGAGAAAAGCTGTTGTAGTTTTTTTTAAAAAAAGTTAAGGATACGATGGCATAGTGGTCTTCTCTTTCAATGTCTGTTTACATGTCTAACTTAATTACCCATAAAAGGTTGACCTTTCATTTGAGGTACAGAAATTAGTTATTCTGGTATTGAGCCTCAGCTCTTAGTGCCCCCTGCTGTATATTAATAGCAATGCTGTATCAAAGCCAATAATAATAATCCTTGCATTTGACATAGCGCTTTTCACGACTTCTAGACGTCCCAAAGCGCTTCACAGAATATACTGTAAAGTGAATTGACTATGTGTGTAGGCAACGCGGCAGCCAATTGCGCACAGCAGTGTCCCACAAACAGTCGGAGATTGAAAATGACCAATTTATTATTGTTTTATTTTTTTGGAGGGATTATTATATTTGATTATTTAATGCAAGCCTATTTTAATGCAAAATAGCATGAGAACACGACAGTGTGAAGCCTTACTCTGGATTATATCTTTAAAGATGAGCTCACAATTGATCTATGCTTGTACGGCAAGAACTCCATTTCTTGATCACTGATCACAGTTCCCTTTGAGGAAAGCCAACCCCCCCCCCCCCCCCCACGGTATAACAGTCACTTCCACTCCCTCAAAACGCAAACCCGGTTGCAGATGGCACAAATCCGACCTCAAAACGCCAGCTGTGGCTTGAGCATCTCCTCACCTACCACCTCTTCCTCTTGCAGACCATATCCACTTGGCTGCATCCTCCTCCCCTACATTGCCTTCCGCACCGCCCAGACCGTCTATACAATGTGGTCCTTCCACCACGCCCCTACCATAACTCCCCTCCATACACTCCTTTGTGCCAATTACTCTTCCCTCCTTCTTAACCACCATCTCCCAGATGAAGCCTACCATCTGTTGCCTAGACCCCTCCTCACCCAGCTGCTGGTCACCCAACACCATCTACATGCTCCCTTTTGATGATGTCGGTCTCAGACACGGGGTAAACTTTCACATATATGCGGATGACACATAAATCTACTTCTCCTCCTCCAGCTGCGACCAAGTCCGCCGATATTCTGTCGGCTTGCCTTGCAGACATCAGGGCCTGGGTGAGAACAAAATTCTTGAAACTAAATAATAACAAGATGGAAGCCATACATCTTGGTTCCCATCAATGTCTTCTGTCCTGCGGCTCTGACCTGCTCAACCTCATTGGCCTATCCCTCAGACTCACTGAACTGGTCGGGGCGCAGCCTCGGCATCAAGTTCAACCCACAATTATCCTTCCTTCCCCACATCGAGTCCCTGACCAGGACCACCTTCCTCCACCGCCACCACATTGCCCATCTCTGATTCTACCTTACCGCAGATGCAGCCGAACCACTCATCCATGCTTTCGTCACCTCCCAACTCGACTTCTGAAATGACGGTCTCCGTCGAGGAAGGCACCACCATGCACAAGATGCAGCTGATCCAAAACTCCGCTGCCTGCATATTCACCTGTACTAAACTCTGTACCCCCATCACACCAGTTCTAGCCGGAGGACATCCTCCCAACGTAAAAGGCGCTATACAAATGTAATCTTGTTGTTGTTGTAGCCAGGTTGACCCACTAAATGGGTCAATTTCCAGATCCTCACACTAATTTTTAAATCCCTTCATGTCCTGGCACTTCCCTACCCCTCCGATCTGCTTACTTCCCAACCCTTGCCTCGCTGCTTCCGCTTGACTGGCTTCGGCCTCCTGCATGTCCCTAATGCTCCATTCCAGCATCGGTGGCTGAGTTTTCAGCCACCATGTTTGAAACTCTGGAACACACTTCCTCTATCCCTCCACCTTGCCCCTTCCTTCCCCATCTTCAGATCGTGCCTGGAGAGCTTCCTCTTCAACCATACCTATGGTCACCTCCACCACCCTACCCCCAGCTCGGCGTCATGCTCCGCCACTGTCAAGCATCCTGCGTGAAGGACGCTATATACATGCATGTTGTTGTTTGCAACAAGAATTCAACCTGGCTCAGTTGATAGCTCTGATTAGGATTCTTAATGGAGATGAGAAAGTAAACCCCAAACTGTATCTTCAGATACACCATGGCCACAGGACAAAAGAACACAGGTTCAAAGGACAAGCTTTGACATCAGCAATAAATTACATTTGTACAGCGCCTTTCACGTCAGAAGGATGCCCCAAGACAAGGGTTTGCTCCCAGGCCTGGGGGTTGGATTCAAGCGAGGTGGAAGGTAGGAGCGAATGAGAGTGGGAGGGTGGCTGAAGGCAAAGAGAAAGGTCTTCAGACTGGCCTTGAAGGCAGCAAGGCAGGAATAAGACACACATGAGAAAGTGTTTCTTTCACTGGGCAGAGAATCAGCAACTGAAATACATTTAGCAGAAAGGATGGGTTGAGGCCAGCACACTGCATGCTTTTAAACAATAATTAAATGTTGCAATAGGAAGAGAGCGGGGGCGATATTCTGAAAGGGTGAGATGAAATGAGCTGAAGAACCTCTTCATCCATACCTCTTTTGTGATTTACATATTATTTATATACATGTACGTGAGTGAAGCTAATGTATCACCTCAGAAAACTGAATGTGAAATGTGATTATAAATCAGGTGTCTGATTTTAAAACCTATCTGATAGTGGAAATAGATGTTCAATATCCAACTATGGAGTAATTTATAATGTGTTCAATCTATGTTGTAAAATCCATCTTTAAATTAGCATTCAAACTAGCAAATTAGCTGCAAAGCAATCACAATTTCATGTAAACTTAATCTCAACTAGGAAAGGAACAGACTTAAATATTAATTTTGTAATGTGAACCAATTTAAAATGTAAAGCTGTTAACTTTTGAAGGCAGCTTATTGCTAAAACTAATGAATTGTTAATTAGGCCAAGACAATTTATTTAACTAATGCTTAGACACAGGATTTAGGCAGGAAATATGCTGTGGAATTTTTTTTTACTTTATAATTGTTGACAATTTTCAAAATTATGTCACCCCTACTAAATGGTGAAGATCACTGTCACAATTTTAAATTAAGTGAATTAATAATTTTGGTGTTAAATACATTTATATAGATTAACTGAATTTATTACCTATAGCATTTGTATCCAGGCTAATTATTGCAATAATTTACTTGTTTGCAGTCTGCTTGAATGGTTTCAAGTAAATGGCTTGAAATTATATGGCTAAGAGGACACCAGACGTTTTATTTTCAAAGAGCCGGCACAGACACGATGGGCCGAATGGCCTCCTTCTGTGCTGTATAGTTCTATGATTCTATAATTTGCAGCAAATGTGTTTCCTTTGCATTTGTCTGCTTAAAGGAAAGCTATTAAATTCTTTAATTGTTGATACATATTTAAAAAAAAGATTTGTAAGACTGTTGAATAAAGAATGGAGGACTGCACCGTGGGTCTGAAAAGGAGACTGGTTATTAACTGCCAGGATAGATCAACAATGATCATTTCAACCTCCTCCCCTGTGTCCCCTTCTGCACCCCTGTGCTAACACAGCTTAAAAACACACAATAATATCAGAAAGGGTATAATAATAATAATCCTTGCATTTGATATAGAGCCTTAATCATATCTTCGAGATGTCTCAAAGAGCTTCACAGAATATACTGTAAAGTGAATTGACTGTATATTTTGTGGGCGAAATGCGGCAGCCAATTGTGCACAGCAGTGTCCCTCAAACAGTCATGGATTGAAGTGAACAATTTATTATTATTATTTTTTTGGAAGGAATTATTACCCCCAGAAAAGCAATCCGCCAATCAACTAACAACCAGGTTTCTACTTACTGCTAGGTGGAGTAAGGAAACTTGCCCAACGTTTTGCATTGCCTGGGAATCGAATCCAGGTCTCTAGCTTGCGAGCCGAGTGTGCTAACCACTGAGCTACAGAACTTCAAGAAGGAGGACAGCCAAGATGGTTCCATACCTGGAGGCTTAGTGAAATTATTCTTATTAGAAATAAGATTGAATAGGGCTAGTATTTAAATCAAATTCAGAATGTGGAGAGATTCTATAGAAAATAACCAGGGGGCAAAATTATGATCTTAGAAATCACAAGCTAAATGTGCTTCTTCAGTCTAAAGCATTGCAAAAGTTTACAATTTACTATCAAGTGCAATGGGTGCAGATTCAGAAAATGAATTGGGCAGGATCGTCATCCAACAATAGAGCAGAGGGATGGATGTGCCACAGAGGGTTGGACATGTCACTGAGGATAATGTGATCAATGGAGTTCTAGATTATGGATTTGTATAATTTTGGGATAATTTGATGGTCTGAATGGACTTTTGCACCAGCTTTTCCCCTGTGAGTTTAGGATCATTTGGGTCTTAATGCAATAAATCAACATCCATGTATTTCTGGACTGTGATTATCAGTTCCAGAGGGTGCATTAGAGGACTAGCTGCCTCAGGATAAATAAGACCAAGGCTAATGGTTCTTGACTTTTGTTTTGCATTTTTAAACCAATTGACCTTTATTAATGAATCTGTACAATGTCTGCTTTTGCAGTACAGCTCATGTTTGAAAACCGCTTAAAGAAACATAACACAAGTGAACTGTTATTGATGGAGCTTTAAGCATTTAAAAATTGATAACATAAGCAAATTAGAATATTGTCAGTTAATGTTTCTTCCTTAATTGGCAACGTTCCACCTCATGCAGTCAAAGAATAACTGGAACCTCCTATTATATGGCCTTCATTGATAAAGACAACCTGGAGAGCAAGATGTGTGTCCTTTATTTAAGACAACCTAGTATTTTAGTGAAGAAAGTTCCACAATGTTGGAAACTCCCATGAGGGAATTAAGATTTAAGATGTATTGCAACTACCTGAACAGCCTTAAGTTTTTTTTATTTAGTCAGCTGGGTGTATCAGCCATCTGTATCAGTCCTTTCTCTGTATCGTGCAAGTTGCCTCTGAGTGAAACTCCACTAATGAGAATCAAACACATGATGACAGGTAATCCCAATGCTTTATTGCACAACAAAGCGATGCATTCATCATCGTCCTTCGCATTACCAGACAGCTGACTTCAGCAATAACCTGCTTGTCTTTCCTCCCTCCCTCCTTGATTTTTCTCTTTCAAGAAGCACTGTATAGCAAACTCAACTGTGTTTTATTGTTCCTTAAACCCTATGTGTAACATTACACTGCTCGGAACATGATGACTGTCGCAACATTATGGAATAGAGTTATGGATGCCATCTTTCTGATGAGCTAACGTATGCCAAACTTGTACTAGAGGTTTTGCCCTTTTTTCTTTCTACATCTGTTTTAGGGACCACTCTTGTAGTTGGTCCAATCCTCCACAACCCAATTAATAAGGTCATCAGAATAGGCTCTACACATAAGTGGAATTAGTGATGACCTGAGCCAATAGAAAAGTGTGGACATATTTGCAATCCATTAAAAAATCTCAAAGTGCAGTTTTAACACAGTTTGCAGAGAAATTACAATTTTCACAGAAACAAACAAAAAATTCTCAGTCAACAGTTTAGTGCTGGTTAAATTTTAACATGAGGAGAATCCTTATATTTTGTTCTGTTAGGCTCTGTCTATTACCTTTGAGGTCTAAATAACAGAAAATGACCTTTCAAAGTCAGCTGTGCTCAGTGGTAGTCAAATGTATCTTTTTTTTAAGCAAGTTTCACAAGTTGAGCTCCCTATCATGCTGCTATTTTGTGGGTATCTGGAATATTTTCTCCAGCTGCTTTATAAGCATGCCATTCAAAATTTGAAATAGTTGAAAAGGCAGGAATCATATGACCATATAAATGTTTTTCTGCTGGCTGGTGAGGATCAAAAATATGAACTGCTTTATAGATGGCAATTGACAGATACTTTTTCAAAATCAGTCCCACCATTTCACTGCTGTCTTGCATGATTCTCTGGAAAGGGTTGACACATATGTCTCTCGCACTCTCAGAACCGGCTGCCAACTTTTCCACTGTCTTTGGTCTCTACTCCTGTGCTTCAGCACTGGCACCAAAATCAATAAACAAATGTAAAGTTTACACCTGTAAGTATAGATTGTGGCCTCAAGGCACAACTGTTGCCTGACATTCTTCAATGAGTTTTATGAGCTCAGATGAATGCTCTGTGACAAAGGTTGCTTGTGCTTGCAACTCTGCAGCATTATTGTTCAAGAGTGTTTTCAATTTTTTCACTGCTAAGCCCGCTGATGCAATTCTTTGAAGAAATTCTTCCAAGACAGGCAAGTACTCATACAAATATTCAACAACCTTCACCCAGGAGCACCAACGCCAAGACTGGCATCTGTGGTTTAATTCCACCCTTCATCTCCATAAATTCCAAGTACTGATGCCGGCACATTGGACTTTGGCAGAAGACTTTCTTGACCTTAGCAACCACTGTGTCTGTACACTGTGTCCTCCAATATAACAGGCCAAATTTCTGAAACTAAGTTCAGTAGATGGGCAATGCATGTATTGTATCGTGTTAAGAAACAATTCCGATACAATTGTGTTAAATGCTTTGATCGTGTAGTTGCCACTGTCTGCGACAACTGCAAACACTTTATCAAAGTTAACCATTTTTACATTTAAGACTCTTAGGAGAGCTTGTGACACAGTGGCATGGTTAACTCGCTGCAAGAATTCTACTCCAATAAGAAGATGCTTCTCCCCACCTTTCTGCAGTGACAGTGCCAGCACTGCCAGAACACTGCGCCCGCTGGAATTAGTGGTCTCATCCAGAAACAAGTGCACATCCGTGCCCTCAACATGTTTCTTCAAACATTCTTCATGCTCATCTCGTCTCCACAAACAGTTTCTCCTCTAGCCCCTGCAATGTCTCCTGTGGTGTTCCTCAGGGCACTGTCCTTGGTCCCCTCCTCTTCAATATCTATATGCTTCCTCTTGGTGACATCATCCACAGACATGGGGTCAATTTCCACATGTATGTGGATGACACCCAACTGTACTTCTCTGCCTTCACCCTCGACTCCAGGCCGACTGCTGTCCTGACAGAATGTCTGTCAGACATCAAGTCCTGGATGAGAGCTAACTTTCTTCAGTTGAATGTCAACAAGACACGAGGCTATCCTGATTGGCTCCTGTCAGCGCCTCCAAACCTCAGGCGCTGACAGCATCACCATCCATGGTTTCACACTCCGCCTTACTAAGCCAGTCCGGAACCTTGGCGTCTTGTTTGACTTTTAACTGTCCTTTCTACCCCACATCCATGCCATGACCCTCTCTGCCTTCCCCCACCTCCACAACATCACCTGGCTCCGCCACTGTCTCACACCGCAGGCCGCCAAAACCGTCATACATGCATTCATTACATCAAGGCTTGACTATGCAATCTCCTTGCCTGTTGGCCTCCCCAACTCCTCCCTCCATAGGCTGCAGATCATCCAGAATTCTGCAGCCCATGTCCTCTCCCACCCCTATGACCCCCATCCTCGTCCGACTCCACTGGCTTCCCATTACACAGAGGATACAGTTCAATGTCCTGGCCCGCACCTTCAAAGCCCTCCATGGCCTTGCTCCCACCCTACCTCTGTGACCTCCTAACCCCCGAACCCTGCTCCCTCTGCTCAGCGGGCTCCAGCCTGCTTCACGTCCCCTGGCTCGCCTGCCCCACTATTGGTGACCACGCCCTCTGCCCCCACCCTCTGGAACCCATCCCACAGTCCCTCCGCTGCATTCCCCCCTCATGCCTCCTTCAAGACCCATCTCAAGACTCTCCTCTTTGACAGTGTTTTGCTTTGATCGCTCTGCTTCCCCCCTGCCCTCCACCATCTCCAATCCTGACCCCCAGCTCAGGTCCGAAACTCTGACACTCCAGTCTATATACAGTGTATATAGACGCTATACAAATGTAATTTTGTTGTTGTTGTTGAATAAGCTCCTTCAAGTATGTATTATGAAGCTGTGATGGTGTTGTTTCGTGCACTTGCATAGAAACACTTGGAAGGCAGGAGCTATTTCAAGTGGTATGTCTGCTCAAGTCAAACACTGCACAAAGTCCAATATGAATTCTTTCCTCTCCATAGATGATGCAGTGGTCTAGAGAAGCAGTTTGTCAGAGCAAATTGCCTTTGAGATCCAGATCCACCCAGAAAGGAAAAATAGATCTTCATGATGCATTTGTTAGAAATGTTCTTTTATTTTTGTTTGCTGTGGTTGTTTTAAGTCCTTTTAAAATTCAACAAAAATGAGGGAGATTAACTTTTGTAATCATACAAATTAAGATTTTCTTTCAAAATTAAACTGAAAGCAATTAATGATACGTTTTCATTTAATATTACATATATCAAAAGTATTAAATTTTTTTTCTTTATTACCGCGGCCTTGCATTGACAATGTTTCAGAAATTTCATGTTCTCATATCAATGGTGTGCTTGTGAATATGTTCAATTGTGTGACAGCAAACGTGGCAAACAACTACCCCCCTTTTTCATGAAGGTCATCTGGATAGAGTACAATTCTATCGGAGGGACAGATGGAAAATAAGACGTGCTGCCCCTTGGCTTCCTTATGAGATTTACAAAAACGGTTAGACATTTTTGTATTGCACAACCTAAAAAGTGAAACAACCCAGATTAAAACTATAGGTATATATTTCCTGAAAATGTAGTTATGTTTAAAATACTAAATATTTTAATTTGAATAGTACAAAACTTACCAAGAATTTGTCACAGTAGTGTGACGCAGCTGCTTTTCCTATCAAGCTTTATCGTTTGATGTGAACACTCTTATCTGTCCATTAATCTTTCCTGCCCCATCATAACTGAATCCTGTTTGGAAACTTTTGACCTCAGTACGAGCGTCACGTGGCCTTAACCTCACACTAAATTCTGCTTGCCACATGCGTTTTTTCCCGCGCGCAATTACCAGCTTCCCCTGCAAAATTTAACTGCTCTGCTCATTCTCTTTTAATGATTTCTCCCAGGAGTTCATTTTTTACTTCAGCTATTTGAGCGTGCTGCTCTTTTTCTTTCAGGCTAAATTGCCCTTTTATACTTTCAGCTTGTAGAAGCTTATCATTCAGCCTTTCTGCTCTAAGCAATATGTTTATTTCATTAACCATTTTTTCATATTTTTTTCACTGAGTAAGTTTCTGGCTCTGTTTCTCTAAGAATGTTTTTTGCATGGTCCCTATATTCATTAGTGGCCTGTAACCCTGCTAGCACTCCAGCTCCAAGAGCTAAAATGGCTGCTCCTGCTACAAAACGTCTGTGACCTGGAGGAGTTACTGAAACAAAAAGGTGGAAATGGATCACTTGGGACCTGGAGGGAGAACCTACTAATGCATTGAAAAGGGGGAGATTGAAAATGGAAGGGAAAAGTATCAAAAAGTAACTTGGGATTGCATTCTGAGTATTGAGAAGGGGATGAAGTGGCTTGGAAGAGTTATTACAAAACTCTAGCTTCAAGGGTTAGATCCACAGACATGGGGTAAATTAAGGGTTAAGGGTCCGCAGACATGGAGTAAATTTCTACATGTATGTGGATGACACCCAACTCTATCTCTCTGCCTCCACCCTCAACTCCAGGTCCTGACCGACTGCCTGTCCGACATCAAGCACTGGTCGAGGGACAATTTTCTCCAACTCAACAACGGCAAGACCGAAGCCCACCTGATTGGCTCGCGCCAGCGCCTCCGCACCTCAGGCGCTGGCAGCATCAGCATCCACGGCTGCACACTCAACCTCACTAAGCCAGTCAGGAACCTGGGTGTCATGTCTGACCCTGGACTGTCCTTTTGGCCCCCACATCCGCGTCATGACCAGCACTGCCCACCACCACCTCCGCAACATTGCCAGACTTCGCCACCCTCACCCCTCAGGCTGCCGAAACCCTCACCCATGCATTTGTCATATCAAGGCTCGATTACGGAAACTCCCTCCTCATCGGCCTTCCCAATTCTTCCCTTCACAAGCTGCAGATTGTCCAAAACTCTGCAGCTCATGTACTCTCACGCACCAGGCTCCACTGACTCCCCATCCCCCATAGGATTGAGTTCAAGATCCCTGATCTCATTTTCAAGGCCATCCATGGCCTTGCCCCCTCCTACCTCTCTGACCTGCTGACTCCCTACCAACCTGCCCGCTCCCTCTGTTCAGCGGGCTGCAGCCTGCTCCATGTCTCCAGCCCAACCCACTCTACCATCAGTGGCTGGGTTTTCAGCCTCTTTGCCCTCACACTCTGGAACTCCATCCCACAGTCCCTTTGCCTCGCTTCCTCCCTTGCCTCCTTCAAGGCTGGTCTCTAGACCCTTCTCTCCGATCACGCCTTTGGTCAATCCTCCCATCTCTGTGCCTTCCCTCACCCCTACACCACCCCTCCCCCATGCTCGGGTCCCGACACCTGACTGCTCAGCGCTTTGGGACGTCATCCTAACGTGAAAGGCGCTCTATAAATGTAATTTTATTGTTGTAGTAGATTTCACAAACCGAGCAAGGTAGTGAAAATGTTAAACCTAAAATTATTTGAATCCTAACTCCAAGAGGAAAGACTGTTTCTACTAGTCAGGTTAAAAGAATACAGTCGTCTACAGATGATCAGTTGCTGGGGAGAGCATAGTGCTCTAGCCAACTGAGATCACCATGTGGTTAAAAAAAAGAAGAGAGCTGAAAAGACAGGTCCCATAAAAAAACCTGAAAATCAGTCTCAACCGAAGATAATCGCATAGAAACAAATCAATACAAAGTTACATTTGCATCACGTCTTTTACGTCGGGAGGGTATCCCAAGGTGCTGGACAGTCAGGGATTTTGCCCAGAGATGGAGGGAGGATGCTGGGATCAGGGATAATGGAGGGAAGGACGGCGGTTGAAGGGAAGGGTCTTGGGACGTGCCTTGAGGGAGGCAAGGGAGGGAGAAAGATGAAGGGAGTGTGGGATGGAGTTCCAAAGAGTGGGGGCAGAGAGACTGAAGGCCAACGCCGATGGTGGGGCAGGGCGGGCGGGGGATGTAAAAGGAGCCTGCTGAGTGGAGGGAGCGGTCAGGTTGATATGGGGTCAGCAGGTCACTGAGGTAGACAGGAGCAATGCCATGGAGAGCTTTGAAGGTGAAGATGGGGATTTTGAACTCCTACATGTGGAGCTGGGTGAGGGTGGGGGTGATAGGGTCACAGAGCCTGGTGCGGGAGAGGACACGAGCTGCAGAGTTTTGGATGTTTGTAGAGGGAAGAGTTGGGAAGGCCGACAAGCAGGGAGTTGGCACAGTTGAGTCTAGAAGTGAGGAACACATGGATGAAGGTTTTGGCAGCTTGAGGGGTGAGGCAGTGGCGGAGCCCGGCGATGTTGAGAAGGTAAGGGATGGCAGAGCGGGTCATGGCACGGATGTGGGGTAGAAAGGACAGTTGAGGGTCAAACAAGACGCCAAGGTTCCGGACTGGCTTAGTAAGGTGGTGTGTGCATCAATGGATGGTGTTGCTGCCAGTGCCTGAGATGAGGAGGTGCTGACGAGAGCCAATCAGAAGGGCCTCAGTCTTGTTGATGTTCAACTGTAGAAAGTTAGCTCTCATCCAGGACTTGATGTTTAAGAGACATTCTGTCAGGGCAGCAGTGGACCTGGAGTCGAGGGTGGAGGCAGAGAGATAGAGTTGGGAGTTATCCGCAAACATGTAGACACCCAATGTCTGCGGATGATGTCACCAAGAGGGACATGTTGAAGAGGAGAGGACCAAAGACAGAGCCCTGAGAAACACCGCACAAGACTGTGTGGGGTATGGAGGAGATGCTGTTTGTGGAGACCAAGGAGAGGTAGGATCTGAGGAGGAGGATAGAGTGGTCAACGGTACAAAACAGAGAGGTCGAGGAGGATGAGGAAACAAAGCAAGCCCTGGTCACAGATGGACAAAAGGTCATTTGTCACTTTGACCAAGGCTGTTTCTGTGTTGTGGGCAGCACGGAAACCCAATTGGAAAGGTTTGTATAGGGCGTGGCGGGAGAGGAAGCAGCAATGCTGGGAAGCAACAACACATTCAAGGACCTTGGAAAGGAAAAGGTGGTTGGAGATGGGGCAGTATTTTGAGAGCAGGGATGGTTCCAGGGAAGGTTTTTTGTGGATAGGGGTGATGATGGCTGTTTTAAGGGGGTGGAATGGTTCGGGTGGACAGGGAGAGCTTGTTAAAAAAAAGAAGTCGCTGGGAACTCTCAGCAGGTCAAAATGCAAAATACTGCAGATGCTGAATATCTGAAACAAACGAGAGATTGATGATGTCTTAGTAGAGGAGAAGGAGGTGCAGCTGGGAGGTAAGGAGAGGGGTGAGAAGGTATTGGGTTTCATGTGGGTTATATTGGTGGTGAGAGAGGAGGAAGAGACAGGTTTGAAGGTGTGGAGGGATGGATGGGTAGGGGCTGGAGTGTGAGCGGAAGATGGAGAGGGTGTAGCAGTTGGAAGGGTGAGTGGCCTTCCCCTCGATTTTGGTCTCAAGGAAGTCCAGTATCTCCTCGCAGTTGGAGTTGGAGAAAAGGATGGGCGAGGTGTAACAAGGTGGGTGGAGTAGCCGATTGGTGGTGAAGAAGAGGATCCTTGGCCTCCAAGATTACCTTGGAGTAGAAGGACAATTTAGTGGAGGTGAGGCCTGAGCATCACCCCTTTCTTCAAAAATAATGTGGTCTGCTAGGAGTACAAATTTTGGCAGGGAATGACATTTAAAAAATTTTGCCAACAAAATGAAAGAAATTTTCACAGGCATTTGAAATATTTTAGAGTTTAAAGTCAAAATACTAAATTTGCATTATAAACTGGTTGGATCAGAGCATACAAGTAGAGACATTGTTCATGGTTGATCAGCCTGTCTGGCTCATTAAATAATAGTTGGAAGTGTAGACATGTTCTTAACCCTGTGAGCCAAAGCTAGGGCTGCCGTGACCAGACAAGTGCACTTCTTTGTGATGGTCCTGTGCAGAGTAATGAAATTTGCCCAACGTTTTGCCCTGCCGGGAATTGAACCCAGGACCTCATGGTTGCGAGGTGAGTGTTCTAACTACTGAGCTACAGGACTCCTATTGCAACAATCACTGTTGTGTTGAAAAAAATTTCTTGGCACAACTATAAAAAAAATTTACATTTGTGAAGTCGGTTTCCTAAAATTGCATAAAACCTCCCTGTATTTATTTAAGAATGTTTTTGTTATGATGTTTTTTGCAAAAGACTTAATTGCTGAATGATTAAAAATATTCTTTGCAAGTTCAGGTTTGGCTGGCAAGGCTATGAACATGTGTTATATATAGCCCATCAGCCTGGATCAGTTGGTAGCACTCCCGCTTCTGAGTCACAAGGTTGTGGGATTAAGCTCCATGTCAGAAATTTGAACCCACAGTCCAGGCTGACAGTTGTAAGGTTTGCCAGAAACAGATTTTATCCAATACAGGTGGCGTGAATTACAGATCTTTGATATCATATACAATTTAAAGGTTATATTGTTAAGTTACATTAAAGCAGTAACATTCAATGAAACCGATATTACCCAATTCCATTGGGGAAGTCGCTGACCACCAGCTGTTCACCACTGTTCCTCCTATGATGATTCCAACTATTCCAAAGTTACATTTTCTTTAACGTTTCTAACTCCATCTTCTCTTGTCACAGAGATAGCCCCCACCCTTCGCAGGTTGCTTTACATAGAGGGAAACATGGACAACGTTTGGGCAGTCTTCCACAGCCTGCTTGTTTCGCAGCCTTGAGATAGGCAGGTGTCTGAGGCTGTAGCCTTTTTTTTTTGAGGTTCATTGTTCCTACGTCTGTGCTGAAGGACCTGATCGCTCATTCCAGGCAGGTCAGGGCGAAACCTTGGGCAAGTTTCCTTACTCCACACGCCTAATAATAATCCCTCCAAAACAAAAAAAAATAATAAATTGGTCATTTTCAATCGCAATTGGCTGCCGCGTTCGCCCACAAATATGCAGTCAATTCACTTTACAGTGTGTTCTGTGAAGCGCTTTGGGACGTCCTCCTGATGTGAAAAGCGCTATATCAAATGCAAGGATTATTATTATTATTATTATTATCTCAGAGGAGTGAACATCTTCCCAGGAAAATATGAAATGTAATCAGAAGCTAACATCATCAGTCCAGCAAAGCTACTTTTAACCCCTGCTAAAAGAGTCATTAAATCAAACCAGCCTTATTAAAGGATTATGGGTAGATTACATTTTAAATGTATATACATACTTAATTAAAAATCTGAAGAGTAAGCATCACAAATATAACCTTACACAGTCCAATGGGTGCTGAACCTATATTTTTGGAGGTGCTATTCTTCGGATGTTCTGGCCAACAGTCAATAACAACTTGCCCTTCTTACAGGACAGTGCTAAACAATGGTATAGTTTGACACTGAGCTGGGTTGAAGAGGAAAGTCTTCAGGTACATTCTGAATACTAACAAAGAAGGGGCAAGTCAGAGAGAGTCCTGAGGCAAGGGGTTCCAGCAGGACCGAGTATAATGGTTGGAGGTAATCCTGAAAATGGTGGAGTAGAGAGGTCGAGGGATGTGCATAAGGCCAAAGCCAGCTGAGCGAAGGGGAGCAGGTTAAGGAATGGGATCTGAGCAGGTTGGAGAGGTAGGGAGATGCTTAGGCATGAATTAATTTTTAGGCGAGTATGAGGATCTCAAAATTGATTTGACCCATCCAAACCAATCCCCCAAATAAAATTGGATAATCACTTCATGGCTGTTTGTGGGATATTGTGGTACCTAAATTGGCCGATGAATTAGTTGTATCAATTCCAGGCAGGGCAAAATCTTGGGCAAGTTTCCTTACTCCACACACCTAATACTAATCCCTCCAAAACAAAACTATAGTAAATTGGTCATTTTCAATCCACGACTGTTTGTAGGACACTGCTGTGCGCAATTGGCTGCTGCGTTTCTTCCACAGGAATACTGTCAATTCACTTTACAGCATATTCTGTGAAGCGCTTTGAGACGTGCGCACAGCAGTGTCCCATAAACCGTTGTGGATTGATTGACCAATTTATTATTATTTTTGTTTGAAGGAATTATTACCCCCAGAAAAGCAATCCACCAATCGACTAATAACAGTGTTCCTACTTACTGCGAGGTAAACAGAGGCGTGTGGAGTAAGGAAACTGCCCAACATTTTGCCCTGCCGGGAATCAAACCCAAATCTCTCACTCATTCTTGTTACCAACAATTATTATCAACAATCAAAACGTAGGAGTACCAGAAAGCACTATGGCTAGATGATCCATCTACTTTGCTCAGAAATGTTTCTTTAAGAAGAATTTTGCAAATTGCAAATGCTGGGAATTTGAAGACACCCTCCCCCAAAGGTGGAATCCTGTAGCTCAGTCCTGAGCATGTGCCTCGCAAGCGAGAGACCTGGGTTTGATTCCCAGCAGGGCGAAACCTTTAGGCAAGTTACCTTACTCCACATGCCTGATAATAATCCCTCAAGGAAATAAATAAAATAAAAATTTGGTCACTCAATCCACGACTGTTTGTGGGACACCTCTATGTGCAATTGGCTGCCGCGTTTTGCCCACAAGCATACAGTCAATTCACTTTACAGTATATTCTGTGAAGTACTTTAAGACGTCTAGAAGACATGAAAAGCGCTATATCAAATGCAAGGATTATTGAATTATTATTATAGCTGTACACCATTGCGCATCTGAAAGAAAGATGAGGTTATTATTTTGTGTGTCATCTTTCAGAATTGTTTTCTTGTTTCTACCTTATGTTTGTTAAGTGTGTTGGAACAGGTATAAATAAATATATTATCACACAAGTATCATACCTATTCTGTTTTGAAATTAACAGATTATATTATCCAAACGATGGACCTGAACGAGACGGAAGCACCAATAAAGCAATGTCCAGTTCCAACTCCTCGGGCCTCAATTTCATCTCCAGCAGCTTCATCGTCACACAAGACCAAAGGTAAAGGATCTTAACTGATACCTCTGACCACGTTGTCAGTCATCTTTCCTCTCCCAACCCCATTTCTCTCCTCACCCCATTCCTCTCCCCACCTCATTCCATCCCCATCCCTGGCTCGGATGCCCAGCCTGCAGTTTTGAGAAGTTCTCATAGTGTGAAACGTGTTATGTGAATGTATTGTAACATTGTAGAATTGCATCCAATTATAATATTGCAGAATTCTGCGATCTCTTTCTATCTATTGAAACATTTCTAAACAAAGTTATGTTAAAATAGTGACCCTCTGATTAGGGTAATTAAACGTCCCTGATTTCTTGGGACAGTCCCCAGCTGAGGTATTGTGACCCTGGCCAAATTTGCCCTGTCTTGAGTTCAGCAACAAACTGAGCAATTAACAACACAATTCTAGAACAGATACACTTATCAGAGAAATGCAGCCATTCAACAAGCTTCTCCAGTACTGCCAGCATGAGGAATTGTGGTGAGTTCAATTGTTTTTATACATATCCTCAGATTTGATTTACAAAATATAGTCACCCTACCTCTTGTGGCTCAGCAGATAGATACTGCAGCTCAATTAATGGTTTGTGTTTAGCTAATCTCATCTGGGGCAGCAGTGGGCATCCCAAATACACGAGTAAAAAAAGAGACAGAAGTTTCTCATGCTATCTTGCCCAACAATCCAAATAAAATATTCTTCCACCTCATTGCTGTTTGTGGAACCTTCCTGTGTACCAATAGCTGCTGGATTTGCCTGTAAAACCAATCCTATACTTGTCAGTTATTAACCTAAAGTGCTTTGATATTTTTGATGTGAAAAGGTGCTATAAAATACAAGTTCCTTACTTTAGACCATGGGCACAAGCTTGCTTATTTTCTATCTATACTAATAAATAACCTGCTCTGCCTTCCCCCACCTCTGCAACATTGCTCGGTTCTGCCACTGCCTCACACCGCACACCACCGAGACCCTCATACATGCATTCATAACATTCAGGCTTGACTATGCAAACTCCCTACTTGTCAGCCTCCCCAACTCCTCCCTCCATAGGTTGCAGACCATCCGTGTCCTTTCCTGCAACAGGCTCGGTGACTCTTATCACCCCCATTCTCGCCCGACGCCACTGGCTTCCCATCACACAGAGGACACAGTTCAAGGTCCTGGTCCTCACCTTCAAAGCCCTCCCTGGCCTTGCTCCCTCCCTACCTGTGCAACCTTCTAAGCACCTACCAACCTGCCTGCTCTCTCCGCTAGTGGGCTCTGGCCTGCTTCATGTCTTCAGCCACTTTGCCCCCACCCTCACGAACTCCATCCCGCAGTCTCTCTGCTTGCCCCCTCCCTTACCTCCTTTCAAGAGCCGTTTCAAGATCCTCCTCTTTAACCGTGCCTTTGATCATCCTTCTTTCTCCCCTGCCCTCCACCCTCCTTGATCCCGACCCCCTGCTCAGGTCCGAAACACTGATTGTCCAGTGCTTTGCGACATCCTCCTGATGTGAAAGGTGGTATAGAAATGTAATCTTGTTGTTGTTGTAAAGACGTAATGTCTGTCTGTGTGTATGTGTGACAGATAAGAACTCAATAACCGATTGATGTAGAGACATAATTTATGCCTCATCGGAAAGGTCTTGCATGGGGCAGTGGCATGGCCATAGATTTTTTGGGGTACCTCCTATTGTTGATGAGCTATGACCTAAACAAGCTTATCACATTTGTATGGCAGTTACATGTACGCTGCTGTTACATCTGGTGACCGCGCTGGCTCCCAGTGATGCTGTGGCAAGCAGCACACATGCACTCAGATGAAGCCAAGTGGCAGAAACAAGATGGCATAGTGAGGTGGAAGTTGCCTTGAGCAACGTTGACGGCAGCCGTTTGGCTGCTTTTCCTGCTGCTGCGCTTGGGCAGCCGTGGGCTGGGCATCACCATGTCAGAGGTGGGCTGGTGGCGGGATGGTTGGCTCAGTAAAGCTGCAGGGTTTCCAGGTTCCTCTGCGTCACGGCCTAGCAACGACTAGCCGGAGAGGGTGAAGTCTGGGGCTCGAGTTGGGGTTTAGCCCCTTCCCCTCTGGAGTTTAGCCCCTCCCCCATCCTTATGTATATAATTTTATATAATAATTATACTCTTAAGACAAAATGTCTGTTTGTCTGTCGGCCAATAACGCAATAACTGATTGACAAAGAGACACGATCTATACCTCACCGGAAAGATCTTGGATGGAGAAGTGTCATATGCATTTTTTTGGGGGGCTATCTCCTATTGTTGATGAGCTATGACCTAAACAAGCTCATCACACATGTATGTCAGTGTTGCTTAAGGTGTGCACACAGGGTTTATGGGATGTAAAACGCTTTGTGAGTGGTATCACTGAAAATGTCAGCTCTAAAAACGAGCACACAAAAATTATGGAGTCATTTTGCTTAAGGTGTACCACCGTGTTTATCGCATGTTAAATGGTTTGTGAGTGGTATCTATATTCCATATTGGATGCTTTGGTTGCAAGCGTAGCTGCAACTGGTAACAGGGAACATTTGACCCTTAATCTTCAGAATGTGGTCTGTCTATGAACTGATTTTGTTTTTTTTTGTGATGTGGTTCAGTTTTGTGCAAGCAAAGTAAACACAGACCAGCAGAAACCAAGATAGAGCCTGGCCAGTCGAGCCTTCCTGTATTCACTGCATTCTGAAGATTAAATGTTCTGTTGAAACGGTTTATTAGCTTGGAACACTGCCAATTACACATTTCTTCCTTTGAGGTTCTCAGAGACTGCTGGTTAAGAGTGGTTGGCATGGATCATTTCTAAAAAAATGTTGACATCTGGAATTAGCAATATGGACTTTGAAGAAAAAAAAATACTGTTACGGTTTCGGGATAGTGTAGGATAGACTTTGTTTGGAAAGAACATTATACAGTAAAATGCCACATCAGTTGGGACGATAATATTTAATATTAGTTATGCAAAGTAAGAGTTATTGCAAATATTATGTATTATATATGACTGATTTAAAGTTATGTATAAGTTGGATTTTATGACTAATACATACTAGCTGTACTAGCTGGTGACATTGAGGCAATGTTTCTGTACCATGTTTAACCCATGCATATTAAAGCAACGGTAACCCATTCTTTCCATATACAGTACTTTACTTCATGTGCAGAAAACATGTACTGTACAATGAAAGGGACAACCAAACTGGTTTCAAAACAGAACTGCTATTAGAATTCTTATTAAAACATAAACTCTTACAAAGATTGTTTCACGTCTTCCAGCATCTTGGGACGTCCTCACAACATGAAAGGCGTGATACAAATGTAATTTTCTTGTTGTTGTTCACGTGGAGCAGGGTTGTCGAAGTTTTTGGCTGCTCGGGACAGGCTGCCGTGTATGAGAACCAAAACCGTTTTTCTCTTGCCCTCTTTCTGTTTCTCTCTCTCCCTCAATCACTCTCTCCTCCCTCTCTCTCTCTCTCTCCCTCAATCACTCTCTCCTCCCCCTCTCTCTCCCTCAATCACTCTCTCCTCTCTCTCTCCCTCAAATCATTTTCTCCTTCTCTCTCAATCACTCACTCCTCCCTCTCTCTCTGCCTCAATCACTCTCTCCTCCCTTGCTCTCTCTCCCTCAAAAAACAGGGGTATGAGGAAAGTGCAGGTAAGTGGGACTGCAAAGACTTGAAGGAACCAGCACAGACATGATGGGCTGATTGGCCTTTTGTGCTGTAAATTTCTGTGTTTCGATGATTCTGTGGGAGACATTTGTGTTTCAGAAGGAACTTTAGGAGCAACAGAAAGATATTCCCAATTCCAAAGGACAGTCAAATAGCTTTAACCAAGGAAAGAGGTCATAGATCATACTGTGTCTGAGTTGAAAATTAAAATGTGTTGCAAGCGGAACATTTTTAAGTTTGTGGGGAGTAGTGAGAAGGAACTTTCAAACAGTTATTAACAACAACAACAAGATTACATTTGTATAGTGCTTTTCACGTCGGGAGGACATCCCAAGGTGCTGGAGAGTGATGGTGGTTTAAAACATTATTGAAATCTGTAGTTAACATGTAAATGGACAATAAACGTGAAGTATCAAATAATGTTCTGACTGAATTCATGAAGTCGAAAAAACCTTAATTAGTTTGATTGGTTTTAGAATTGCCTTCTTTTATGCCTAGATTGTCTTTGGATCACCATTGGAATCAATGTATTTGATGTATGAAATACACTGCTGGAGTAACAACAATAATAATAATCCTTGCATTTGATATAGCTTCTTACGATGTTATTGAAATATTTGTTTGTCATTGTTTGTGGGACACGACTGTGCACAATTGGCTGCCACGTTTCGCCCACAACATACGCAGTCAATTTACTTTACAATGTATTCTGTGAATATACTGTGCTTTGAGATGGCTCGAGGATGTGATAAGGCACTGCATCAAATGCAAGGATTATTATTGCCAGTCAACTGCATTGCTCTCACTAGCATTTCTCGTGTTAGAATCATTCGCGAGCAGTTGTAGCCACTGACCAGGATGCACACGAGAAGCTACGATCTGAGCATCGATAGTTGACATTCCTGTCAGGATAATTTTCTGAGCATATTATTTCTCTGGGAGTACTTGTTATACAGTGGAAGCCTGTTAAATTGGACACATCTGGCCGACTGTTTTGTCTGATTTCAGTGGCATCCAATGCAAACTGAAGTTCCATTACCTTTTCCAACCCACCAGAGGAGTGACGACGATGCTTCCTCCCTCCCATTGCCATTCCCATTGGATGGAAAAGGGAACAAATTTCTCCAAAGTGCTTAGCAATTATGGAAAATAATATGGATGCTGATCAAAGCGTGATCAAAGGGCTGTGTTATAAGAATGGTTTTAAAGTGAGGTAAATAAGTTTTGGAAGAGAGCTTCAGGTTTTTTTTTGGTCAGCCAGGTGTCTGACATACGGAAACCCATCACCATGCTTAAGAGTATCCAAACCAAACTAAGAATGTTGGGGTATTACTGGAGTCTAACCAGCTAAAACCACATAGCTTGCCATTGATATTGCTGTCCGGCAAGTTTTCCAGCTGCTTGTCCAGCTAGGACCACCCAACCCACTAGGACTTTGGCGTGCAGGGTTAACAGGAATTGAGTGGGATGATTTCCTGCCCCCAGTGACTAGTCTGCCCTTCCAAGGTCTGACGAGCCAGGCTGGCTGTGCTGTCATCATCAGTGCCCTGGAATACTGCAGACCCGTCTGGCTCAGGAACCGGACTACCAAGACCTCCAATTCCAACATTCCGTTGCCAGGCACATATGTCACCTTGGAGCCAGTTCAGCTCCAAGGAGACCCTGCATACTTCCTGCCCCAGGAGGATATTTCAGATTGTAGGAGCACAGTGGCTGAACACTAAGCCATCTACGGTGGGATGGAAGAGCGTAGAATGAATGATAGACCAGAATCGAAGGAGCAGAAGGTACAGGCAATAAACTACGAGTAAATGTCTGCAGAGGGAATGTTCTGAATTCCGCCGCATTGACAGAGAAATCATTTAAACTGAATAAGCACAAGTTTCAAAACACGTCGAACAGCGATGTCTTTGCCATAAGATAATAAATGGAGAGCATGCTCCTGCTACAATTCTACATTGTAGTGATGTCCTGTGGCTCAGTGGTTAGAGCACTTGCCTTGCAAGCGAGCACCTGGGTTAAATTCCAGGCAGGGCGAAACCTTGGGCAAGTTTCCTTACTCCACACGCCTAATAATAATCCCTCCAAAACAAAACGAATTGGTCATTTTCAATCCACGACTGTTTGTGGGACATTGCTGTGCGCAATTGGCTGCCGCGTTCGCCCACAAACATACAGTCAATTCACTTTACAGTATATTCTGTGAAGCGCTTTGGGACGTCTAGAAGACGTGAAAAGCGCTATATCAAATGCAAGGATTATTATTATTGTGTTTCTGGAAGGGAAACACAAAATATTGCTTATGCAGCCTGTGGACCTTTCTCAAATAGGGAATCTGGCCTGCCCAATGGTTGGACCTGCCCAATGGTTGAATCTGGCCCAATGGTGAAATGCTTTGAAATATCTCAAAGACCTGATAAGGCGCTATATAAACTGCAAGAATTATTATTATTATTTATCCCTGCGCTATAATTAACTGTGACCCTTAACTGGTGCCTGATTCAGGGAAATTATAAGAGTTGCTTGTAAACTTTTGTATTTCATATCCTCCAAATAACCTCTGTTCCATGTGAATTGGAGAAATGTACCACATTTCTTAACCTCCAATATTTTGTGGATAAGCTGACAAAAAATTATTTTATTCATTTTGTCTTAGGCTAGCAGTACTTTGAATAAAACCCATGATGTAAAAACTCTGAAGTCTTAAATGTCACATTATTTTAACCTGTGATTGTAAAAAAACTTTAGAAACTTTTTGCAGGGTTTATGGAAAATCTCCTAACAAATGTTAACCATCAAAGACAAAACTATCAAAGTCAGCAGCTTTGACTGGAAGTATCTATCGATGGATGCCTGGTGCATATAGTCTGTAAATGGATCCTCATAAGACTTACCTGATGGCCCTACTTGTTGAAGGCACTGCCTACAACAACTTGCATTTATATAGCGCCCCTCATGCAGGGTAGCGTCCCAGAGTGCATGACAGTGGCGGAGCATGACACCGAGCCGGGTGGAGGTAAATGTAGGCACGGTTGAAGAGAAAAGTCTTCAGGCACGACCTGAAGATGGGGAAGGAAGGGACAAGGTGGAGGGAATACGAAAAGTCTAAAATATTTAGTTGCTTTAGAGTTTTGGGGCACAGTGGCTGAAAGTACCAGAAGGAATACCCACTACCCCAGTAGAAGGATTCAATCAGTCTCGGGAGAGGAGAAAAATTGGTGGGAAGAAAATTTAGATGTTTACAATATTAAATACAATAGCAGCCCATTATGTGCATATGTGGAACTGGTTTGGATATTTATAACCATGGTGGTGGACTTTTACAAGTGTCAGACAATTGGCTGGCAATGCCTCCCCACCCCCATCATAATTTGTGCATCAGCCTGGCTCAGTAGTGGCACTCTAAGCCCCACATTGGGACTTGGAATCACATAGCCAGCAGTTTCCTTACGCAACATGCCTCTGTTTACCTAATGGTAAGCAGGAACCCAGTTGTTACTCAATTGGCGGATTGCTTTTCCTGGAGTAATAATTCCTTAAAATAATTCCTTCTCCAGTGTGAACATGCCGAGTTTATCTAATAGTTCCTCGTAGTCCAGTCCCTCCATCCCCTTCAATCATTTTGGTTGCCCTCCTCTCTATCGTCTCAATTGTTGCAATATCCTTTTCGTAGGATAGATATCCTTTTTGTAGAACTTCACACAGTACTCCAAGTGCGGTCACACCAACCCAGTCTTCAATAGTCAGAGCTTTATTTCTAATGGTTCAGAGGCAGAATATTTTAGTTGTGTATTTCACAAGTATGTAGTAGAATTATTTTACAGTTATAAACCAATTGAAAACTGATTAAGAGATTGAATACAATTCCAGCTGCACCAATAAGGTGTGTAGAATCATAGAATTATACAGCATAGAAGGAGGCCATTCGACCTATCGTGTCTGTGCCGGCTCTTTGAAAAGAGCTATCCAATTCAATCCCACTCCCTCGCTGTCTCCCCATAGCCCTGCAAACTTGTCCTCCCCAAATAATTATCTGCTTCTCTCTTAAAAGTTGTTATTGAATCGGCTTCCAGCACCCTTTCAGGCAATGCATTCCTGATCAGAGCAAATCGCTGTGTGAAAAAATTCTCCTCATCTCCCCTCTGTTTCTTTTAACAACTGTTTTAAATCGGTGTCCTCGGGTTACTGACCTACCCGCCAGTGGAAATAGTTTCTCCTTGTTCACCCTATCGAGTCCCCTCATAATTTTGAAAACTTCTATTAAGTCTCCTCTTAACCTTCTCTGCTCCAAGGAGAATAATCCTAGCTTCTCTGGCCTCTCCTGATAACTGAAGTCCCTCCTTCCTGGTACCATCCGGGTAAATCTCCTTTGCACCCTTCCTTGACATCCTTCCTGAAGTGTGGTGCCCAGAACTGAACACAGAACTTTTGCTGAAGTCTAACCAGTGTTTTATAAAGGTTCATCATAACTTCCTGACTTTTGTATTCTATGCCCCTATTTTTAAAGCCTAGTCTCCTGTTTGCTTTTTTAACAGCTTCATCTACCTGTCCTGCCACCTTCAAAGATTTACTTATGAACCCCCAGGTCTCTCTGTTCCTTCACCCTCTTTAAGATTCAACTATGTCGCTTATATTGCCTCTCCTCATTCTTCCTCCCAAAAAGCATCACTTCACATTTCAACACATTAAACTTCATCTGCCATGCGTTTGCCCATTTTAGCAGTCTATCTATATCCATTTTACCAGTCTGTCTATGTCCAGTCTACTACTATCCTCCTCATTGTTTACTACTTTTCCTAGCTTAGTATCATCTGCAAATTTGAAACATGGGTGTGCTGGAATACATGAGCCAATGCCATCTCAACTCATTATGTCTTGCTAGATTACATAATTACCACAAAAATAATGATTACATTTGATATAGCACGTTATCACGTTGTCAAAATGTCTTCAAGTGCTTCACAGGATTTTTACTGGGAAGAGTTTATTTTTGTGAATTTCTATTATATTTAATATAAAGCACAATTCCTATATTAAACAAGCTTTGAACATGTTTCACTTTATAAGAATGCTTTCCATTTTCTTTTGACAGGTGAAACACTTACTGGGGAGCTATCCAAACTTTTGTCAGAAATCCGAGAGAGCAGGGACAAAGATTTTGATGACTTGTGCCAAGCCGTATCCTCCTATTCTATAGAGAGGTTTAGCAGTGCAAAGATTTGTGATGAAGATATCGGGAAATGTGAAAAACAGCCAAAACATTGCAAGGTTAGTCTCCGGAAAAATAGGAAACCGCTCTTTGGCAATATCGGGGAAACATTTGTGTATGTATATATCGACACACATATATGTGTGTGTGTATGCTGATTACACAAGTGCTCTGGGACATTGTCCTGGTGAGTGGTGCTGTATAAATGCAAGTTGTTGTTGTATACAATGTTTACTACAATATCCTTTGCTGTTTGCCAACAGCTGAATATAGAATATATACCATATAGAAATGTCGACAGCAGTTTGAGACGGCAATACAATACAGTTTGCAATACAATTCCACCTGAAAAATCTGGAAAGTTTCTTTAAAAAAACAAGCTGATGTGTTTGCTTTTTAACACAACACTTCAACATTATCTGGTGAAACCTCAGTCCTGAGAACTCAATGCAGTGTCTGTGGTCTCAGAAATTTGGAAGTTGCTTATTTTGTAGAGCTGAAGTGGAATCCCCTGCTGAGGGACACAATCCTCCACAAAACATGCCAATGTACTTTCTCTCAATCGCACACAGTCAACTAATATTTACAAACGTTTCAACAGCAAAGCCAAAGGTAATGAGAAATGAAAAAAGATAAGATTTACAGAAGGGAAATATAGTTCTTTGCAACTTTTTGTATTTGAGAGACGGTCATACCTGGAATTTAGATTTCCAATTTGATTCAGTACTCATCCTGCCATAAATCACTTTAGAAAAGAACTCTTCCATTCCATATTTAGTTTCCCATTGGGTTGATTTGAAAATCGTCACCCTCAACAAGGATGTTGGACAAATCAGTTGAGCTGAGATCTCTAGATGTCATACTCAAGTTATATTGTACTCTGGAGTATGTCCAGGATACTGTATAGAGTTTGATTGCCATAATGTAATGGGGAGGAGAGCATCAAGGATTATCCCCACTGTTAAATAAATGAGCAATGATTAAACAATGGGGCTCTTTAGTCTTGAAAGAGGTATACAGTATAATGCTTTAAATAGATTGAAAAAAAATCTTTAGCTTTGCACCAAGACAATAGACCAAGAGGGCATGAGTTGCAAAGAACAATTTAAGGATGGATACCAGCAAATGTTTTCTTTACCCAAAGGGTAATTTATTGCTGGTTCCTGGAAAGGTCAGGGTACTGGACTCATTTTAATAAACAAACCTTGATGCTATCATTGTTTGCAGGGTTTGTTTTTCAGGAAGAATGAGATCAAATGGTCTGGAGGGATCTTCTTTATCCAAACCAACCTTTTAATCTACAAATGCTTTCATGTATTTGCTCCTTTTGACCTCTGTGATCCTTTTTAACTTAATTTTTCTGAACATCCCGCCACTTGGCCAATTCAGGTCAGCTTAATGTGCTTCACTCCATCAATGCTGGACAAGCCTTCGGCATCTATCACCACTGGAACTCCCACCCTTTTTCCTTCTACTCACCATCTCTCTGTCTTCAAAAGCTTAAAAACATACCTCCAACCATGCCTATGGTCTCGTCCTCCCTCACTCCCTGCTCAGTGTTACTTCCATCACAAAGTGCTGATATAGCGGCACCTTTTGCACATAGTGCATGTGCAGTATACAGAAAGTAAAATCCGAGGTGAACCTGACAACCTCGATTTTTCGTGCAGGAAGCCAGCTCATCAGTGTCAGAAGCCAGCTGTATTATGGTTCTGGTTAGCATAGGTCCATGGGATACCAAAGTTATTTCCCTGAATTTTTGAAGGTGCAAGCGGCTAAGTCACAGAGCAACAACATTCAAGTAATTTTATGACAGCTGAAAATCTCATATGTTAAGCTGTATGTTTGATCCTTTCTTAAGCAATTTTTAACACTGCCGTATTGGGTGGGGGGGAAGAGAGAAATTACTTTGATTGAGATATTACTGTTTGAATACAATAATTTTTATCATTCGTTCAGTATTGGCGATGTTGATCAGTGAAGACAACAGCAACAACTTGCAATATAGCAATATAGTGCCCTTTATGCTGGACAGTGTCTCGACGAGCTTAACAGTTGCGGAGCTCGATGTTGAGCCAGGGGAAGGGGGAAGGTGACCATAGGCATGGTCAAAGAGGGAGATCTTCAAGCATTACCTGATAATGGGGAAAGAGAGGGCAAGGCAAAGGGATTACTGTGCATAATTGGCTGCTGCGTTTCGCCTGCAAAATACGGTCAATTCACTTCACCGTATATTCTGAGGCGTTCTCGAAGATGTGATAAAGTGCTATATCGAATGCAAGGATTATTATTGTTATTATTGAGGGTGAGGTTCCGCAACTTCGGGGCATAGTGGCTGAAAGCACGGCCCCGATGGTGGGCAGAGGGTCCGGGGGACCTGGTGGAGGCCAGAGTCAGTCGAGCAGAGGCAGCGGGTAATAGTGTAGAAGAGCAGGTTAGAGAGATGGTGAAGTGTCAGGGCGTAAAGGGATTTAAATACAAGAGTTAGGATGTTGAAATTGATCCGCTCTGTGACAGAGCCAATGGAGTTTGACAAGGACTGGGGTAATGGAAGTATGGAATTTAGTGCTGGTGAGAATACGGGCAGTGGAGTTTGAATTAGTTGAAATCTGTTAATAGTGGAGCAGGGAAGATCAACGAGGAGGGCATTTGAGTAATCGAGGCTGGAGGTGACGAAGGCGAGGACGAGGGTTTCAGCAGCTTTTGGAGTGGATTTAGGCAGGCAAAGTGGCAGAGATGGAGGCACAGGTCCTAGCCAGGGACCGGGTGTGGAGTATGAAGGATAGCTGGGGATCGGATTCAGTGAGTCTCAGGGAGAGATCGGGGAGAGTGAGGAGGTCTGAGCCATAGGAGAGAAGATGTTAACGAGAGTCAGAGTATGGGTTCCATCTTGTCAATGTTTAGCTGCAGGAAGCTTACACTCATTCAGGCCTTGATGTCTGTCAGGAAAGCTGACAGAACATCAGGGGACTGGGAGTCACAGCTGGAGGAAGAAAAGTAGATTAGCATTAAACATCTGCATACATGTGGAAGTTTACCCAGTGTCTGCGGATGCCATCGCCGAGAGGGAGCATGTAGATGAAGAAAAGAAGGGGGCCACGGATGGAGCCTTGGGGTACCCCGCAGGTAACTTGGCGGGGGCAGGAGGAAAAACCATTAGAAGATGTCAGAATCTTAATTTAGCCCTCTTGCTCTTATTCTACAAGTTTTATTCTGGCTGTGCATTCTGGGTTTGTGATATTGCACTCTTTTCTGGTGATCCGTAGCATTCATAACTATACAGACAGAAATGTTTGATATTTTGACCTGTGAGATTACTATACAATGTTTTATCCATGAAGATTTTGTGGCAAACAAACAAAAACTGAATCAGCCACACCTGTGTCATAAAGCAAATGCAGACCTGGCATTGTCTCCACAATACTTACAGACTCTTCTGTTCAACATCTCCCTCACCAGAGTCCAGAACATAATTGCAAATCAATTTAGGAACGAAAGACCAGTTCTCTCAGATGGATTATCTATCATGAGATTCCCAATTATATTTCTGTGTATTGTGTAATGTATTATCAGTTCCAATTAAAACATATCTGTTCTGTGTTTTTAAGGCTTTGAGTAGCAGCAGGAAGAGAATATTTTTTTTCTCTCGCTTTGACGTCCAGAACCTTCATTTCTAGAAAGGCAGGCGTCATGTTTGAATGGGCAAACATCTTTGTAGCAGGCAGATGATAATAATAATAATAATCCTTGCATTTCATATAGCGCTTTTCATATCTTCGAGACATCTCAAAGTGCTTCACAGAATATACTGTAAAGTGAATTGACTGTAAATTTTGTGGACGAGACGTGGCAGCCATTTGCGGACAGCAGTTTCCCACAGTCATGGATTGAGTGACCAAATTATTATTTTTTTGAGGGATTATTATCAGGCTGGTGGAGTAAGGAAACTTGTCCAAAATTTCGCCCTGCCGGGAATCGAACCCAGGTCTCTTGCTTGCGAGGCGAGTGCTCTAACCACTTTGAGCTACAGGATTCCTGATACCAACGTTCTTGCTGTTTTGCCTATTTATTTGGCTATATTTTAATTTAAAAAGCTGTAATAGAGCAATAATGTTGGTCTTTGTTTATTTGGCAATAAAAAACTTCAGTGAACTAATGTGCCTTTCAAGTATATCTGGCCTTTTCATGTCTGTTGAAGTCAGGGAGTTTTATTGCTCCATTATGGCGAACAACTGCAGCTGCCATTTGACTCAGAATTGCAGCAAACGTTAATATTTGCATCTTTAAAATATTTATAATACATGAAGCTATTGAGAATATTACAGCAACAACAAAATTATATTTGTTTAGCGCCTTTCACGTCAAGAAGACGTCCCAAGGCGCTGGACAGTCAGTGTTTCGGACACAAGCTGGGGGTGGGACTGGGGAGGGTGGAGGGCAGGGGGGAAGTAGGGAGATCGAAAGCACGGTCGAAGAGGAGGGTCTTGAGATGGGTCTTGAAGGAGACAAGGGAGGGGGCGAGGTGGAGGGACTGCGGGATGGAGTTCCAAAGGGTGGGTGCAGAATGGCAGAACGCCCACCTGCCATTGGTGGGGTGGGCAAGGTGGGAGACATGAAGCAGGCCAGAACCTGCTGAGCAGAGGGAGCATGCAGGATGATAGGGGATTAGGAGGTAGAAGAGGTGGAGGGAGCAAGGCCATGGAGGGCTTTGAAGGTGAGGACCAGGATCTTGAACTGAATCCTCTTTATGATGAGAAGCCAGTGGAGTCGGGCGAAGATGGGTGTGACAGGGGCATGATGCCTGGTGTGGGAGAAGACACAACTTCTGAATGATCTGCAGCCCATGGAGGGAGGAGTTGGGGAATTTGCATAGTCAAGCCTGCATGTTGTGAATGTGTATATGAGGGTTTAGGTAACCTGTGGTGTGAGATAGTGGCGGAGCCGAACGAAGAAGGCAAAGCAGGTCATGGCATGGATGTGGGGTAGAAAGGATAGTTGAGGGTCAAACAACACGCCATGGTTCTGGACTGGCTTAGCAAGGTGGAGTGTGCAACCATGG